TAAAAAAGTTATGTCGTTTTTAACACATTCAATCTACTGCAGCTAGCGCCCTCTATGAACTTTAACCAAAATGTGAACAGATTTCAATTCCTCTACTCAACGAACTCCAATCCCCAAAATTTTGTGAGGATATTTGCATTTGTTAAGGAATAAATTAAAAAAAACTGAAATAATATTTTACATTTAACACCCTGTATCTCTTTAACTATCAACTTTTGGACTAAGGTAAGTTCGGCTATTCGCAATATTTTTACTTGGGGAATCTACCCATGAATTTTGGCCCATTACGTCGCGACCACCCTGTATATGAATCAAACTGTAGTTCTATCTTTCCTGAACAATTGCAGTTTTAATTCACATCATTATCTCTGTTATTAATGAGATGCACAGTTTATTATAAAATACAACTTAAGACGTAATAGAGATAATAATAAAAAAAATCAATGACGATATGGGTAAAACAACTTAGAAACCATCAGTGTTTACTTCTTTCGTTTGACAATACTGAAAAAACATTCAGAAAAAAATGGAAAGACATTGATCCAGAAAAAATCCGTATCAAGTTTCGAGCCATCTGCAATTTTTTCCTGATTAGAAGTATTGATTGATATTTCTTGTTATTGATCTTTTTCTATTATTACTGTTTGTTATGGGTGTTATCTTGAGATATATAAGGTGTCAAATGATGGCAAAGTTGCCGAAGAAAAACTGGACCTGTCTGCTTCTCGATTTGAAGTAATCGAGAAAAAACGGAGTGACATAGCCTACATTTCAATTAATCAGTGTTTCAAACATACGTCTTCTAAAAATTGCATTTTTAATTACCTAAACTTTTGACATTGTCAGTGAATACGTCAAAATCTTTGCAAAAGTAGATAATTTGGTATTTTGACAAAAAGTAAATAAAATACATAAAAACCATTTGTTTCTCTATCCTAGAAGGCACGGGAACCTCAAAATAAAAAAGATAGGTTAAATATTTCTTTGGCAAGTTATTCATCATCAAATTACCTTGTATGCCTTACAATAACTGAAACCCAAATGGTGTGGCTCGAAAAACGAGAAAAATAAATTGTCAAAATTAAATTGGGTATCTGCAAGTAAATGAACTTTGAAATTGGGACCCATTTTTAGTTGTACCTTAATTTTGATATGAAGTGTATTTTTGTTTATAGTGTCGTAATTTAATGTATATTTAAAAAAAATGCAAGCTAACACGTTTCTTACTTTTTTATTTAGTTGTACTAAATTGGGATGTAATTGTGTAACAATAATTATTAATAATTTAACAATGTTTCTGCCAATCTCGTGAATTGGTTTAACAGCATAAAACATTATTTCTTTTACATTGTTAATATGTTCCTCATCACACAGTAATATGTTTTTGTGTAGTTGTTTCTGTTCTGTGTTCTTCATTACAACAATCACTTTTAAACGATAATTCTTAATTTCTGTACTTAAATACGTGGTATACTGATTTTGTTTGATTATTCTGTTAACGTGGAAAGTTTTCCATTTAAGTTTTTTATCATAGCAGTTATCTCCTGTATTTAAGTATATCTGTACATATTTTTTGGGAAATATTTGCATAAGAATTTCTAACGCTCGTAATTTCAATTAGTTTTTATACACAGTATCTCAACATTCCATTGTATAGTTGTGGACAAAAAAAATGGTATCCTCCTAAGAGGTTTAAAGAACATAAATATGAGTATTAAAACTAATCAATTTATGCAAACTTTTCGCTGTCCACAACAATTGTACATGGAACTATCACAGATTATTGACGGGAAAAAAGATGATTTAAAGGTGCATCCTTACCAGCCAGGCGCGACAAAATTGGCAAAAAATTTTGCCAATATTTCCTCAAATAACTCCAACATTTTACCCGATTTAAATGAAAATTGTATGCTGAATAAATTAGTGATGTAACGAATATATTCACATTTGCATTTGCGAAATTCATGTGAATATTTTGCGAATAGGAATATCAGAAATCATATATATTTTTTTTAATGTGAAGGTAATAAATAAGACAAAAATTATTAATTTTTTAATATTTTTGATAGAAAAGTTTTTCTTACTAATTTTTTTAAAAATAACACAATTTTTTCACTAAGGTGACCTTGCAATTATATCTTTTATCAGCATTTACTTTAACATTAGGTACTAAAATTGACTATTCGCTTTTGCATTCACGAATATCGGCGACAGATATTCGCATTCACGAATGCCCAAAAATTGGCATTCGTTACATCACTAGTATAGATGTCATTTTGTGGCAAAATACATCCCCTCTTACGCAAATATGTTCATAATTTTTTTGCAACTGGCTTTGGTATTTATCTTTTTTTATCACTCGGATAACAACATTATTCAAGTTCTTTCACTCTTGCAAATTTGTATATTTCTAAGAATATGCAAATATTAATACACTAAAATGTGAAAATACATGGTCGCTTCTTTTTAGTCACTGCTTTTTCTGGAAAGACTGATCAAATCAAAAATTATTAAAAAAGAGAGAAAGAACTTAAAATAAGTGTAGTGTTTAACTAATGATATTGTGGGATACAACTACTCTGCTGACTAAAGCCCCGTCCAGCATTGAACTACACCACAAAATATACTAAACAGTTAAGATCTCGAAAGAACGAAAGTTGTAACTGATACACAAGTATTTCATTTAAATCGGACAAGGCATT